TTCATGTGGAATTTCCTCAACAAGTCTCCAATACTTTGTTTTATGACAAAATATCCTCATGTTCATTTAAGTGTCACCACACTTTAACTTGTAAGATTGTCTACTTACTTTACAATTAAGAAATGTCACACGTGATGGTCTATCCATAATAAAGATATTCGTATCTCGTTATTACTTATAATCATTGACAATTTAAGATTTAGTCATACTATAATTTGTATATCACAATCACGGCTTCTCGTGATTAATAAATTATAAAAACTTGAATTTACGAATTCTATTATTTAATTTATTAGAATATTAATTCAATTAATTAATAAATATATATTGCTATAAATATGCATCAACTATAAATAAAAAATGTTTATGTTCAGAGTTATTGCACCTGCCGCATGACATTACAGAAAGATGTGAGTAGAAATGATAAGTTGGAGACGTAATTGTCCAAAAGCAATTGGGGACTTTAGGTGAAACTCAGAAGAAAATTAAACACGCAGTACCAAACACAACCGGCTGCCGGCACCGTGCATCACCGCCGCCTTTCCACGGAGGAAGATGGAAACAGGGAAGGTGGTGGTAGAGAGAATAGGAGGGAAGTCAACGGTGATCCGCTGCTTTTCAAAGTACCCCCTCAAAATAATCATCCCCAATAAGGTAAATTTCTAAATTCTGATACATAATTGGAATTTACTTGTGTCATTGTTCGTCAGTCTTGAGTTTTGATTTCATGTTGGTTTTCATTTCCAGGTGGGTTCTTCCCAGACTGATGCTGTTTGGATTTACACAATCACCTATGGCGGAGGCATTGTCTCTGTATGTAATCTCTGTCTATGTATTTGTGGGTGTACAGTTGTCTTCTTTATCTTCTTTTTATTGGATTCAAATTCACAATGTTTCATCACTTTCATGCATTGTTTCTCTTGAATGTAGGGTGACTCCATATCATGTTATATTTCAGTTGGAGATAGTTGCACTGCAGTTTTGACCACCCAATCTTCTACCAAGGTCAAGTCTTTTGTGGCATTTGATTCATGGGTTGTAATTTAATTTAGAGATATATGTTCATGTGAGAGTTTTTGGGTCACTGAAATTTTTATTGCTTGAATATGTAGGTTTACAAATCTGTAGGATCCAAGTGCTCTGAACAAATATTGGAGGTAATTGACTTCTCTCATAGTTCTAAAATTAATTGTTGTGGTATATGTGTTAGTATCCTGTTCAGAATAGGAATTAAGCATACGTTTGGGAAGAAATTATAGAACAGTTTAATTTATAAATAGTTATAAATGAGTGATGGATAAGTAGAGAGTACTTATAGCTCCATTGGAATGTGTGGTTAAAATGGAGCTTGACCATTTATAGATGATTTATATATCATATGGAAGATAAATTAGTGCTGCAGGCAACTGATAGTGAATTTTTCGGGAGAATTCTTGTAAATATTTGTTATTTCAATTTTAGATAATGTGTCATTTTGAATTTTTCTGCATCAATTATGATTAAATTGACATGCTGACGAGTCTAAACTAAATTTTACTTACGAATGAATTAAAGAATTTTATCTACTGGTCCTAGCGGTGGTTTTACGAACACAGGATGAGCTTCTAAGTGATAATATCTTTTAATTATATCTGCATTATCATTTTTCATTTACAAATCTATTGATAGTGGCGAGCCTTGCCATTCAGTAGGCAACAGTCGGACGGGATGCACTGTTGGTCATCATTCCAGATCCAGTGACTTGCTTTTCTACGGCAAAGTATTCTCAAATGCAAATCTTCAAAGTTTTCAATGATTCAAGCTTACTTATAGTTGATTGGATAACTAGTGGTCGTCATGAAAGAGGAGAAAAATGGGATTTTTCTTTATATAAGAGCACTAATCGCATCTTCTTAGAAGACAATGAGCCTTTATTTCTTGACACGGTACTTTTCTTGTTTGGGCCATCATATATTACTCATTGTATGTTGTTAATCTTGTGTTAAATTTCGGGAATCAAAAGAACATGTGTTATTACCCATAAATGAGGTTTGGAAAGCATGAAAAGATTAGACTTGACATACGTTAAAATATTAACAGCATTACTTACACCCTTGCTATTACTTAAAAGTATATGTTCTTAAGAGTTCAAGTTTCTAAACAGTACCTCAGCTCATTCATATGCATATTTTCCTGAAGAAATCCTCTTATTTACAATAAATATATTACCAATATAAATGATTTCAATTTTATCTGGACTTTCTTTTCAGTTTGCATCTGTCAGTTTCTGTACTTCTGGATTCAAATAAAGATGGGTGTAGTTGAAGTTTAAAATTCAATGATTAAGACATTTAGTTTGAGTGTCGTACATCTGGGTATAATTCTCATGTCATTGTCTCAAGTGATTCTCATTTTGACTCAGATATTGCTGGAGCAAGGAAGTCAAGGCAGTATCTCTGAGCGCCTGCAGGATTATCAAGTAATTGCCATGATCGTACTTTGGGGGTAAGTGATTATTTTATCATCCTCTACTTTAACTCTTTCACCTTGGATTACAGTTCAATTTTATTTCAATTTTTGGAATTTCTTTGGTCAATAAGAATGACACTGACTCAAAAGAAAAGGAGACTGACTTGGATTCTTCATACTCCTGTAATAAATTACATGGTTCTAGGCCTAAGTTGAAGCTCATTCAGAATCAAATCCAGGAAGATGTGAAGAAAATGATGTCTCAGCAATTCCGCATTCCTTCGATTAACTCAGGACATTTTGCAAAAACGCATGGTGATCATTGCTTGTCCAAACCCGATTTTATTGCTTCTTGCAGTGTCTTTGGCCCAAAGGTGCATATCTCTCTGTCACATCTTAGTTGTATTGTAACCTTGTAACGAATTTTTAGTATGCAATTATAGTATATCTTTATGCGCTAATTGTGTTTTCTATGAGCTTATTAATGCACTGTGTGTTAAAAGAGCAACTTAAGGAAGTTTTTCTTGGTTTCGCATTTGTATTTGGCCCATGTTTGGTGACTATTATTTCCAAAAAAATAATGTTTTGGGCAGTGATTTCAGTGATTTTTAGGAGAATGTCCGGTTAAAAAGTAGGAAAAAATTTTGGTTTTACGTGTAAAATATTTTATTGTGTGAATGTGTGGTTAAAAATAAGTATATAGAAAAAAGAGTTTGAAAATAATGGTAATCAAACATGGCTTTAGTCATTTGGAGAAAAAGTTTTTTCATTCTTTAAATTTTAAATAGATTCTTAGGTCTAAAATGTTAATAGGCTACTTTTTGTAGTTTGGATGAGTACAAGATTTTGGAACATGTGCAAGGTAAAATGAAGTTTTATATGAAGTCTTCTTGAACTCCGAGTTCTTTCTTTCATATGAAGTTTATTTGTTGTAGCTTAAGTGTTATTTGAATTATACTTTTCTCTTTTGAGTGCACACATCACCCAAACACAATTTTCTTCTTACTGCAGCAACAAAGCCCCTACTTGCACTTCTAGAGAAAACATGAGTAATCAAACAACAATCCTAAATAAACCTGCCTTTCTGCACAATCCACCCACCCACCCAATCCAAATTGTCCTACATCACGTGTATGATGCTAGAGGCTTCCTTGCGAGCCATCTCTTGGAATAAAGCAGCCTAGTAGTAAAAGATCTTTTCATTACCTAATGAGTACTCCAAACGGGCCAGTGACTTCTTGTCGTCCTGCTTTATACCGATAGTCTTTGCCTGAAGTATCCACCTGATAGAAAACTGATACCCAAGGTTAGGTAACTGTCTCAGGTGTATAGGCAATGGCTCCAACCTGCTGGTTTAGCTCGCTCCACAAAGTCTTGCTCACAAAGATCCTACATCACTTATAGAGCCATTTCTCCCAACTGATGTTTTCCAAGATGCAGTTCAGCAATTTGACCTTTTAAGTGCAGTAACTTAGATTGAATACATTTACTACAATATACACAACACTAGAATTGCCTCATATATCCTGGTTTTTCCTTAATTTGGCCGTGGTTATGTTCCTAAACATTGGCAGTTATCTGGTTGTAACTCTTTACATTTTCGGCTGTTCTTTGGTTAATCTTTCCCTTAAGACTTGTAACATTTAATAACAAGGCATATTGATGTCAGTATACTATGATATATTGAGACCATATGTCATAGTATTCTTAATTGCTGAGACAACTTATTCAAAGAAAATTCATTGAAGTTCTTCTAAGCCATAGGCAGCTTTCTTGGCCACGCGTTTCCTTTCTTGGATTTCGTTAGTGAGACGCTGCATTATCGCAGGTCCTATAATCCCAGTGAATATCCATTCCTATTTTTACACTTAAGAAGTATTCTTAATTGCTGAGTTAGGTACTAATGACTATTCAGCATATGCAGGGGATAGGCCTAGTCGTTCGAATAGCATCCATGACAACTGAATCAGTCTACAAATTTCTGCAAAATCAATTGGCTAGCATGGAACCAGTTCTTGGAGTTTCACCATATTTCTAAACAAGGATAAAAAAAGATTGGGGAAATGAAGAATATTTATCATCTTAAGGTTCCTCTGTGGGTTCATATTTGTGTAATGCTAGTCGAAAGCATTGTAGCAGAGTTGTAGTTGATGTTCAATTGGAAAGCTGCTGATCCTGTTCAGATTTTCAGAGATTCTGGTACCTGTTTGTTTGACAACCCAATTTTGTCAACATGGCGAGTAGACGATAGCTTAGTTCTCCAACTTATTTTCTTGGCGAACTGTGTAAAATATGTGGATGTTCTCAGTTTGTAGCATATTTTATAATGAAAGTGAAATGGAGATCATTAGCTAAGGAAATAAAGAGAGGTTTTGAAACTGTGAAGCTCAATAAAAACCAAATTATATTTCCCATTCGCCAAAAGTAAAATTGTGATTCTATGTCACCCACGTCAGTGTGACGATTATCACTATCTAGATTTGCCCGTCGAATAAAAGCAGCAAGAAGCAAAAGGCTTAAATCAAGTTCAGAATCTGTTAGTGAAATATAAGCTAAAATGAGATTTCACAGGGTGCATGAAATGTTCTTCCACGACAAATGGCCTCTAGATTTTCCCCCGTGTATGAACAAAGTGGTGAAACTTCCACACCTGATTCAACAGAAGCCAAACAAACCATTGAATAAGAAAACAAGACTTCAGATTACATATACTAATATGCTAAGCAAAGGACGCTTGTTCCTCCCATCTCCAAAAATGGAGGCAGTTAAGGGGGTTCGGGTGGGGTTTAGGGGTGTCAAAATGGGCGGGCGAGCCATGACCACCCGATAAAAGTGGACAGTAGAATGGCCCACTTGGGTTTAAATGATCAGACAAGTTAAATTATAAGGCAAATGATAAGAATGGATTTCGAATGATTCATTGCTTCAGCTGTTAGCTGATTTATAGAGTACAAGAAATTTCTAGAAATTACATGTGGCGATTGATCCATATAATTAGGATGGTGTAGGGAATCTATTTACAACAATAAGTGATGATTGGAAATCTGGTGCAACAGAAAATCAGCAAGGACAGAACCGTTAGTGCAAGGAGTGAGGAGAAGGTTGAGGTGGAATGTTGAAGTGTAAATTAATTCTTTACACCCTCCCTCAAGCTGGATGGTACTAAGGTAACTCCAAGCTTGTCTTTAAGGAAGTTGAACCTTGAATGAGTAAGACCTTTGGTTAAGAGATCAGCAGTTTGATCGGATGATGGCACATATTTAACTTCCAATTCCTTTGAGAGAACTTTGTCTCTAATAAAGTGAATATCCAACTCGATGTGTTTAGTTCTAGCATGGTAGACTGGATTGGCAGCTAGAGCTCCTGCACTTATGTTATCACACCATAGGATTGGAATTGATATTTGAGGCAGATCAAGTTCTTTGAAGAGGGATTGGATCCATGCGATTTCTGAAGCTGCTGAAGCTAATGCTCTGTACTCTGATTCTGTACTGGATCTTGCAACCACGTGTTGTTTCTTTGATGACCAGGCGATTAAGCTATCTCCTAGATAGATGCAGTAACCTCCAGTAGATCTCCTGTCATCAGGACAGGAGGCCCAATCTGCGTCCGAAAATCCATATAAGTTTAGTGTATCACTTCTTCGTATCCAGAGTCCTTGATTCATTGTGCCTTTAAGATACCTTAGCACTCTTTTTAAGGCCTGCCTATGTATTGACGTTGGTGCTTGTAAGAATTGGCTGAGTTTGTTGACAGCAAAGGTAATGTCAGGTCGTGTGTGTGTGAGGTACTGCAGACTTCCTACTGCACTCCTATAAGTTGAGGGATTGCTCAGTGCTTCTCCATCTGATTTTGAGATAGTTTTGCCAGCAAGAATAGGGGTAGGACATGGCTTTAGGTTCTGCAGTTTGAACTTTGTCAGCATTTCAGCAATGTACCTGGTTTGAGTGAGATGAATCCCTGAATCATGCCACATTACTTCAATTCCTAGAAAGTGGTGAAGTTGTCCCATATCCTTTAAGGCAAATTTTTTGTTCAATTCATCAATGAACCCTTGCAGTAGCTTTGTATCATTTCCTGTTACAACAATATCGTCAACATATATAAGTGCAAAGATGATCTGATTTTCACTCTTGAAGTAAAATAATGAGGTGTCTGCAATTGATTGCCTGAACTTCCAGTTCAGTAGCGTTGTTTTCAGTTTTTTCATGCCAAGCTCTTGGTGCCTGCTTCAGTCCATAGAGAGCCTTTTCTAGCTTACACACATGATGCGGTTTTGTTTTGTCAACGAAGCCTTCAGGTTGATTCATGAAAACTACTTCTTCCAGTTCTCCATTTAAAAAAGCATTGTTAATGTCAACTTGCCTGATTGACCACCCTTTTGAGACAGCCAGAGTAAGTACAATTCGCAAGGTTGATGTTTTAACAACTGGACTGAAGGTTTCAGAATAATCAATTCCAGGTGTTTGATGAAATCCCTTTGCAACAAGTCTTGCTTTGAGCCTCTGAAAAGTTCCATCAGCATTCCTTTTTACCCTGAAGACCCATTTGTTTCCTACAATGTTGTGGTCTCGTGAAGGTGGTACAAGTTTCCATGTTTTGTTTTTGATTAAGGCATTGAATTCTTCCTCCATAGCCTTCTTCCAATTTTCATTCATCATGGCTTCAATGACACTTCCAGGTTCTGAGGGCTCAGGTTTTATTTCAACTGATTCACCCAAGTAAACCTTAGGCTTAAATACTCCAGCCTTCCCCCTGGTGATCATTTGATGTTCGTTGTTAACTGGTTGCTGATGAATGTGGTCTGATGCAGGTCTTTCAATACTTTGAACTGGCTGAACTTCAGATTCAACATCTTGATCATTTCTAACCCTTATAGGACTATCAGTTATGTCCTCTCTTTCAGTATGATGCAGGTCTTCATGCTGATTGTCAGTTGAGCTGAGAGGTGAGTTTTGCAGAGCATTGGCAGCTTCTGAATGGATTGTATCATTGAACCTTGGTACAAGATCAGGTGTATTCACTTGAGATGGAAAATGAAAATATGACACAACAGTTTCAGGTATGACAGATTCAGATTGACTGGGAGCAGAAAATAAGGATTGAAAAGGAAATTCAAGTTCATTGAATACAACATGCCTTGAGATGTAAATTCTTCCTGTTATACTTAGGCATTTATAACCTTTGTGAGATTGGCTGTAACCGAGGAAGATACACTTGGTTGAATGGAAGCTAAACTTGTGTTTTTGATAAGGGCGTAGGCAAGGGTAGCAAGCACACCCAAAAATTTTTAAAGCCTTGTAATCTGCCTCCTGTTTGTGTAGGACTGAGAAGGGGGATTTCATTTTAAGGGTAGGAGTAGGCATTCTATTTATGAAGTAAATGGCAGTTTGAAAAGCTTCCTACCAGTATTTTAAAGGTAGTTTAGCTTGAGCCAAAAGAGTCAGGCCTGTTTCTGCAACATGCCTGTGTTTTCTCTCTATCCTTCCGTTTTGAGCAGATGTGTAAGGGCAAGGATGCCTAAATTCAACCCCTTCTTGTGTTAAAAATTTGGTGAATGATCTGTACTCACCCTCCCAATCAGCTTGTAGGATTTTGATTTTACTTGTAAACTTATTTTCAACAAGTTTTTTGAAGTTGATAAATACACCTAGTGCCTCAGATTTCTGTCTTAGAGGGTATATCCATGTAAATCTACTAAAGTCGTCTAGAAAGGTTATATAATATTTGAAGCCTGAACTAGTTTGAACAGGTACTGGTCCCCATATGTCGGTATGTATGAGTTCCAGGGGAGTTTTTGCATGTGAAGTGGATAATGAGAAGGGCAACAAGTGAGATTTTCCAAATTGGCAGGCATCACAAAATGATTTGGCTTCATTTCCTTTTACTTTTTGATTACAAATCTTGAGCACTTGAGACATCACTTGACTAGATGGATGTCCAAGTCTCTTATGCCATACATCTAATAGGGAATTTAAAGACTCTTGACATGACTTTTTACTGATATTTGACTCATGACTGGGACTGAGAGAGGTGAGATTGCAGTAGTGTTTATTCAGAGATGTAGGCTTTAGAGACTGACATTTTGAGGTTTGGTGAGGTAGATCCAGTTGATACAAGCCATCCTTAAGCTTCCCTTGCAGCAAGACTTCCCTCGTCAGCATGTCCTTCACAAAACAAAAATTAGAATGGAACTCCATATATCCTTGATTATCAGAAGTTAGTTGGGAGACACTTATGAGATTTTTTCTTATCTCAGGAACAAGAAGCAATTTATTTAACACTAGTGTTTTGTCATTCAATGCTGGGATATGAGTGATGCCAAAATGTGAAATATGTAACTTATTACCATTTCCAACCATAACCTTCTCCTTACCAGTGTATTCGGTTGAGGTAGTGATGTTTCCTTTATCTGCTGTAATGTGATTACTAGCTCCAGTGTCAGCGAACCACGCTGGATCACTTACAGTGCTTGGAGAGGCAATGAAGGCTGTTGGAGAGGGACTATAGTTGGTTCTCTGATTTGGAGATGTGCCTGAGTATCTTTCATCATATCTGAAATTACAGATATTGGCTTTGTGCCCAATTTTGCCACACACTTGGCATAGAGGCCTATCACCACCATATAGATTTCGACCTGTGTTTCTGCCTCTTCGTCCTCCTCTGAAATTATTATAGTCGGTGAATCTTCCACCAAAGTTTGGTCTAAAGGATCTTTGAGGTAGTGATGTTTCCTTTATCTTCTGTAATGTGATTACTGGCTCCAGTGTCAGCGAACCACGCTGGATCACTTACAGTGCTTGGAGAGGCAATGAAGGCTGTTGGAGAGGGACTATAGTTGGTTCTCTGATTTGGAGATGTGCCTGAGTATTTTTCATCATATCTGAAATTACAGATATTGGCTTTGTGCCCAATTTTGCCACACACTTGGCATAGAGGCCTGTCACCACCATATGGATTTCGACCTATGTTTTTGCCTCTTTGTCCTCCTCTGAAATTATTATAGTTGGTGAATCTTCTGATAAGTGTAATTTTTACACTCATTTGGGACCTAAAATAACGATATTTGATAGTTCTTTTGATAAAATATATTCTAAATTGTCACATTTTATGTTTAATAGGTGAAACTCTATGGATGGAAAAGAAATTGAAGAAAGGAAGCAAAATGTGGTGAAAAATGGCAAAATTCAATGTACAAGGACCAACTTGCATTATATGGAAGAATTGACGACTTAGAAGCAAGCACTAATTTAATTAGGCATTGGAATTATTTGGGCTCAACTTGGACTTCTAGTTGTATTATATGTGATTACTGGCTCCAGTGTCAGCGAACCACGCTGGATCACTTACAGTGCTTGGAGAGGCAATGAGAGCTGTTGGAGAGGGACCATAATTTGTTCTCTGGTTTGGGGATGTGCCTGAATATCTTTCATCATATCTGAAATTACAAATATTGGCTTTGTGCCCAATTTTGCCACACACTTGGCATAGAGGCCTGTCATTACCATATGGATTTCGACCTGTGTTTCTGCCTCTTCGTCCACCTCTGAAATTATTGTAGTTAGTGAATCTTCCACCATGGTTTGGTCTAAAAGATCTGAAGTAAGGTTGGTTGAAACCAGATCTCTGTGTGAAGTTGACTGAAGTTTGCTCGAGGTTGATACCTGCTAATTCGTTTCTGACTGAATTAAGGTGTTCAAGCCTACTTTCAAATGTCATGAGGGTTGATTGCAGTTCACCCCAAGTGATATTGTCACGACCATTGATCTGGACAACAATTGGTGTGAATTCTTCATCTAGCCCAGCCAAAACTTGAGTAATCAGGTCAGGAAGAGGAATAGCTTTTCCAGCTATTTCAAGGTTGTCTGAAAGCGATTTTACTTTGTTCAAGTATTGGTCAATACTCATGGTCCCTTTCCTTGATTTTTGGAGTTCACCAATTAGGAAGTTGATTCTTGATCTATTTTGTACGCCATAACTTTCCTTTATGGCTGTCCACAGTTCACTGGAATTGTTGGCTCCCATGACTCTCATTGCAATGTCAGGAGTCATCGAAGAGTAGAGCCAGCCCATCAGCAATTGATCAGTTGACATCCATTGATGAAATTCAGGATTTCTTGCCATTTCAACACTGGTACCACTTTCACCAGTGAGTTGAGTAGTTATGAATTCAGGGGGACATGTTTTTGTTCCCAGAATATAGCCCTCCAGGTTGTGACCACGGATTATAGGCAGAATCATGTTCTGCCACAGCAAGAAATTGTTCTTCTCAAGTTTCACCGAGACTACTTGAGTTAGATTTCCACCAAAGGGTGTGAAGGTGTTGCTTCCCTGCATTGGAGCAACTGAGTTGCTTGACATGGATATAGGATCAGAGTTAGGAGCAGTATTTTGTGGGTTGCTTTCGGCGTTTGCCATGGTAGTGCTCTGATACCAAGTTAAATTATAAGGCAAATGATAAGAATGGATTTCGAATGATTCATTGCTTCAGCTGTTAGCTGATTTATAGAGTACAAGAAATTTCTAGAAATTACATGTGGCGATTGATCCATATAATTAGGATGGTGTAGGGAATCTATTTACAACAATAAGTGATGATTGGAAATCTGGTGCAACAGAAAATCAGCAAGGACAGAACCGTTAGTGCAAGGAGTGAGGAGAAGGTTGAGGTGGAATGTTGAAGTGTAAATTAATTCTTTACAAGACACGATAGTTAACCATCGGGTTAATATTACAAAATTATAAAAAGAAAAATTGAATTTGAATATTAAAAGGCCGATTGGCATCTTGTCTATCGACAAAGAAGGCTGACAGCCTTTAAATAAAAAATCATTTCAATGGATCAGTCTGGGCCGCAGGCTGGTTCCAGGCTTAGGTACATTTTTATAGGCTGGTTTTGGCACGGCCCACGAACCATAGAGGACCTGTCCTTTTAACAAGACTGGGCCGTGCCGTTATATGTGAAGGTGCCATGACAACTTGCATTATTCGCGCGAAGTTATTGCCTTCACATGAGTACTGAGCCATGCAAATTGCAATGTATGTAAACTTTAAATTACCTGTTGCATACAGGGGCACAGTATGTGTCAAGAAGCCACCAGCAGCAACCACCCAACGAGCATGGAGACGAAGAACAAGCAGACGAGCACTTTCTGGCGTATCAAAATTTGATCCATTGGCATTTTTCACTGGTGCAAATTCCTCTTCGCGCAATACCTACATATTGTGAGAAACACATCCAAATTCCGTTAAAATATTTACATATTTTCTCTGTAGCAATGATAGAAGGGTAGAAATGTACTAGACGTTGTTACCTCAAAGAGTGCTGTGGATGGTGCATAAGGAAACGCATCAAATATAAATTGTTCGAGTTTGTATCCTTCTGTATGTCCATGTACTGAAGGAATTTTCTTTTCTGCTAGATGATAGCTGCACTCAATTTTTTCATCAATCAATCAGCAATTATCCAAGTTAAAGGCAGTTTGACAAGTATCCAAAATTTTCTATTCTGAACCATAAATCTGTGTTCTAATAAATTATCAGATGCAAAACTGAAGTATCGGTAGAACATAATATTTATGTCTCAAACACACACGCAGGCAGGCACGCACACACAGAAAGAAAGCGTGTTACTAACATGCTGTCTTTCTCAAGACCATTTGCTACTTGGTTCAGAAAATCCAAAGTGAACATATGCAGGCAAACCTGAAATCCCGAAGCCACAACAATTTAGAGAGACAGATAACTAGACATTCAAACTCAACGTTAACAGTAACGTTTCACTATTAACAAATTATGGAACTCAGGAAATGCACAGATGAATTAAGAGGATATGTTAAAGAGAGGCATATGACAAGATTGGAGAAAATATGGAAATACAATCGGTAGAAAATAGTTATCAAAATATTTAGCATACACAAAATACTTGACTTATGCAGCTAATTGAAATTAGTATTCTATATAAAACTTCAAAAAAGGAGTTTAAGACTAATATGACGTAGTATATCATCTGTATAAAAATTGGAATAGAATCTCACGAGTACTGCTTGTGTTTCACCACATTTAACCGACAGTATCCTAATAAGTTCACGATCTCTTCCTTGATAAGGTCTTAAAACATCGAAATGTATCTCCATATAGCATCTCGTAGTACGTTTTAAGAACTGATAATAAGTTCTTTGGTTGGTAACTGGTGAACATGAAAGATTATAAGAATTTTCATATCTTAATTTTATTATTTCAAATCGGCACATGAATTACAAGAAATCATTAGCAAGTAATTGGACTCTTAACATACTGATCGACTCAAATTGATAGTAAGGATAAAGAAAGAGAGGAAGCACTATACATTACTCCAACAAAAGCGAAGGCGGCCAGTTGCCTGGTTTATTTCACTGGCCAGTGATGGGTCCAACTCACTGTATTCAACCACAGAGAGTGGTCCACCTTTCCCTCGCCTTACAAAAACACCAACTTTCTCTTGTGGGTATGCCTACAACCCGGTAGATAAAGAATGATTAGTGAATAATCATCCATGATTCCAATAATACTGAAAAACATGACAGTTTTCAAAGAAATTAGTGTAGGTTGTATAACACAATGTTTTAAATAAGACATTCTACAGATGTGTCTGTCTTTTGCAATGGAAATTTGTAATTTTCTTAAATATCCAAAACATGTTTTCTAAAATTTATAACAAACAAGAACTCTATTGCAATGTGAACTATTTCTAGGAAACGTAATTCATTTTCTTAGAGAGAGAGAGAGAGAGAGAGCCTATCAAGTAACTTGTGAATAATCAAAAACCAAACAGCTAGAATCGCTGCATTGCAATCTAATTTGACTGCTTTCCAAAATTCCCGGTGTAGTAATAAAGAAACATAAAATATATGACAAACTTCTTCACCTTCCGGACAACTTTTGCTGCAGCAGCCACACCTTTATCAATGAAATAACCGAGGAAAGTTGGATCTGCGACACGGACCTGTTTACCAAACAACAATTCTGTGTGTTTCTAAATAGAATACATCACCAAAAAACGAAGGAGAAAAAAAATTTGATGAAATAGTTTACCAAAGCATTGTCAACTCCATAGCAATCCAAGTATTTAATGCCTCTCATAGCCATATCTTCCAGTAACTTTGAATATTTCAAAGCTGAAACCCATTTTGGGACCAATTAAACCACTTAATGCTACTGAAACTGTGAAAGCAATACAACAATAAGAAGAATCAATATGCAATCGAGTTCTTGATGTCGATTAAGTATACCTGAATAAACTCCTCCATTTCCATCTGGAGATTTAGCTACCTGGCTTTGGGAATTAGTTTCTCATTATATTTATAAAAATGAAACTCTAATAAAATAAAAAAAACTGGTAATGAAGAAAAATAAAGGAAAGCTAAGAATCATATTCTGCTAGCAACTTTACAAACCGAAACACGATCTGAAGTAAAACTATTTCTATCTGATATGGCATAAATCAGAAAAGATGCTGAACTATTTTAGGTTCTCTGTGCTAATCTCAGAGGAGAATAAAACTGCTCACCGTTATTGTAAACATTTGATACATACTTGGATTTCAACATCACAGGACTTCAGAACTTGATTAGCTTCTAAGTTTTCTTAATAATATCCGAGTTCTGTATAAAATATTGTAACTGTGTGCACTATATATCAATAATAAATACTTAGGAGCTATGAACATGAACATGATAGACTGTCTTAAATTATGTAACTGAGAAAGAAACCTACTCTGTATGGAGTCTCCATTATGAATCTACCATCCTTTGACACGCAAGGAATTGTACCCTGCTGGAAGAAGGTGACCTGTTTCAAAATTGATTTTAACTATGAGCCAAAGGAAAAGTGAGAGATAATACAAACAATGACTTGAAAAACAAAAAAGTTAACTTTTACTTGATCAGCTTCAAGGCCGAAATATTTATGGCTTTCAAAGAATTTGCGAGTTGGCTCATCAGTGAATGGGCTAGTCATTATGTACCAATGTATTGGTGTAAACCTTGCAGAACCTGCATATACCAGATTGATTAGGATAACAAGTCAAACCAATTATGTTGGCACAGGATATCAAAGTCAATACTCGCCCTCATTGACAGATTGAGATGCTAAAATTTGGACACGTAAAATTCTCTCCGCTTGAAGTTGGAAAAGCGATTTACCGGATGGAAGTCCAATGTCTGTAATGAGAATAAAAAGTTGACATAACTGAACACAATAAATTTGCTAGGATTAAGAAATTGATACAAGTACGCAGAACACATAAGGTATTCTCATATATTACAAATTCCACAATAAAGGTAGGTAATGAATCATCATTACTCAACATGCGATACAACAACGAAAGTATTACTACTACGGCAAATACAACTGTTACAACATCGGATTCTAAACTCAGTGAACATTAGCATTACTTACTGAAACATCCTTTCGGATCCAAACTTCCAAGGCGGGTACCCTGCAATCAAAACTCACAAGGGATATACATTAAATCAGATAATTACTAGAATAAAATCAGGAGTACAATAATATGGACTGATGGGCTTACCAAATAACAGAATGTTTGTAAACAACCATTATGTTTCCTGAATTTTGAAACCTAACAAATTTAACTAACAGGTGCAGAAATCAAAGATTATTGGACTTCCATCCTTACAGGTATCCAGAATTATATAGTAAACTACTATGATATAAATTTGTACAACGGTAGTACCAAAATCGGAAAAACATTGTGTATGGGTCCAGAAGAAGCGTCTCATGGATATTAAATGCATCATGCAATTTCACGGCCCAGAAAAGCATGTCAAATTTCATATATACGCCACAGCCACTGAACCCCTTTCTTAACATTATTTTGTAATATCTATCACCCCTTTTAATCATGTCAAGAAACTCAGACCTAATAAAGCACCATAAAGCCTACAAAATAAAGACTTCCATGACTAATGCACTTGTTCTGAAAATAGACATCTTATCAATCTATCACAACAATGCCTACTACTCCAAATACTTTGCAATATTTAGAAATGCCATCAATGTTTTATTTTCTAAAAAACTTCAATTCTGGGCAAGAAAATTTGAACAGTACCTGTCCACCAGATAAAAGAAGAACGCCCAACTTTCCATCAGAAATGGCCTTTAATCCCATCTTCCACCACCTCTCTCTTTCTTCCATTGAGCGCTCCTCCACGCTCGACACATTGCTTTCCGGAACTGGTTCTACAGCTGCTGCAAGAAGCCCTGAGAAGTAGGAAAGGACATTTATGTTAACAAAAGGGCATTATTTGCATATGTAAAATGCAGCAAGAGTCGGACCTTGTGAGCTTAATGAACATCGAATGATCCGATCAATCCTCGAAAGATCTAAGCTCTGCATTAGAATATTGTTATAGTAAAAATTAACAATTAATCTAACATACAGTTGTCAAATTCTAATTCTGAATTGAAGAAATAAACTTCTATCAAAATATACGCTTAAAAATCCATCAAAAAACAGAACTTTTATTTTGCATAGTAAATATCACCGACACATGAGCTTGAAATAGCTTCTATTTTTGTAGCAAACGAGTGGTATAGTAAACCTCGATATCCTTGACGAGGTGGTCTCGTTCTTCTGGAGAGAGCTCGTCCCAAAGGGCAAAGGCATCTTCTTGGCCGTAATCTTTGAGCCTCTCAATAAGCGACTGTGGTGGAGGAGACACCGCACTATTGTCCAACGCCGGCTCCCCCATTGAATAATTTTCTCTATCAGATCTTCCCTAGATCTATGTGTAATTATATGTGTGTGTCTATAGATATTGAGAGAGAGAGAGAGAGAGAGAGAGAGAGAGAGAGAGAGAGAGAGCTGTTTTCCGGTGACGGTTGGTGGTTAATTTGACAGGGCGCTTCTTCAATGGGGTAAATTTCACATGCGGTCAGTGACCTTTCGGAAAAACGTCAATTAGGTTATTAAACTTTAATTTGTTTGTATAATTAGGTCCATAAACATTGATTTAGTTTCAAATTTCACCAATTCATGACACGCGATCTCGGAAATAGTCAAAAAATATTTCATTGACAATCATACTGCAATAATCTTTCAAGTAATTGCAAACATGTCAATTCAACACGCAACACCATGAAAGTGTTTAAAATTAGTTTTTAATCTAAAGACGTCATAATAACTCTAGTTTTATAATATTTGTTTGTAGTAGGGATGGCAATGGAAGCAAGAAATCCCCACTTAATCGAGCCCGCCTCGGCAAGTACGGGAAATTGGGCCCCACCCAGAAGCATTTTTTAAATATAATTATTTTTATTAATGAAATAAAATATTTTATTAATGAGTATGAACATTAAAGATTATAAATTCACTTTATTGCCCATTTAAGGTAAATATTATCTACCAAGTCCAATATTCATTTTTATAGACTACTTTTAAAGCACACTTTATTTAAAAGTCATATATGAGATTCACTTTACATATTACTTAAGTGTGAGACTTTATTAAAGTGTTTTATATTGTCCAACATTAAAAGAATATCGTCCACGTTAAAGGACGAAAATGTATAAATGATGTAATCATATTTCTATTTTTACTTTCTCAATTATAATTTCTAATTTGATTATTTATTAATAATGTATAATATTTAACATAAAATAAAATAAAATGTGGAGGTAAATTGGGATTGAGGGTTCCTAGCCCTTTCCCCGCATAGCAAGGAGGGGGAATGGATCCTCGCATCCCATTCCACACTATTGCATCCCTAATTTATAAGGTCTCACATAACGTTAATTGTGTAAAATCGATTATGGTATGATTCTTAATTAAATATAATTAGTTTAGATTATGATATGTGACGAAACATGACGATGTGGTTAAATTTGAAATAACACGAAGTTCAGTGACCTAATTGAGATAAATTAAAATTTACAAACCTAACTAAAATTACTGTAGAAGTTCAGTGAGCAAGGATGAAATTTACCCTCAAGAATCTGTTCGAAGAAAGTTGAATTAACCTAAATACCAGTCAAAGTATGAATCAAAACGGTGGCGTTTGAATCTTGTGATCAAAGGGTAAATCCTATTTTGGCCAATCAAGTATAAGAGTGTGGCAATTTTAGGTTATTTGGGAGAGAGAATATCCAATAAAACAAGTTAGGAAATTTTTGTTTATCTTGTTCGTTCGTGTGTAATATTAATATTTTATTTACTATAGTGATTAATATCGTTGACATTTTAAAGTTTTGAATTAATTTTTTTTTTTTAAAGGAAGGTCTTGATACATGAGAAAAAGAAGTAAATATTCTTTAGAAGGGGAAAAGGGAATATTTGCATGTGGAAAAAAGGGGGAATTGTGCAGAACAATAATAGGGAAAATAATAAATGAGAAGCATTTTTTTATATTTTTTTTTTCATTCAATTTTTGAAAGGCCAATGAAGGATACATTTATTAACCTGTCTCATGGGTGTCTGATGTTGAATAATGAATTGTACACGAGTTTAGTTTTTTTGTTTACAATAAATTTCTACACACACACAAAAGAAAAAGAAAAGGTGCTGCATAGTAAAAGAATAAAAATTCAACTATGTCAAGAGATTAATTGATAAAATCTCGTAATAATATTAGACTTACAAAGAAAAGGTAGTTGAAATTCGACATTTCCATTATTTAGATTTTGAGATGTGTCATAATTTGGGTTAATTAATTTAATAGCTATTATTTCTCTGCCTATACGACAATCCACATGATAGTCAGTTAAGCAAGGATGACACCGAAGTGCTCTTCGAAGCAATAGCCTATCTTCCAAGGTGATGCTAAGCTTCCCAACCCCTCATTGACACAATCTTCGAGGTCAAGTAACTTGGCGCAAGATACTTCTGATCTATGGAATCACGTGAGAAGTGACTGATGTAATGTTTCCTACAATGATAGTCGAGTGCAAACATTTGTTTTACCCGCCTATGATAACGTACGAGATTTTAGATCAATTGATACCTAGAACACAATATTGTGACGTGATGGAATTTGACCGATGAACCGGTGGGATGAAGTAACATGTCAAGCATTCACGGAGACTGTTCCTTTCTTATACCCATAAATATTACATTTGACGTAATCAAAGAGTAATAAACTTTTGGTATTCACACATTCTCTCAAAGTACAAATTCGACTCCAAATTATATTCTCTTCTCTCTGTGTTACTCACACACTCAATACACTTTATTTTCCTTTTTGTAACTGACTTGAGTATCGAAAAGCGTATGATTATTGCCTCGCCCTTCCCTCTGGGTTTGGAAAGATTTCGATCTTGCATGCCTGATGTGTGTTCTAAGTGCGTAGATAACATAAGCTTGGAGATGAGTGGTTGCAAGATCTATTGACAATGCATTGAGTCTCAGCCCATATTCAAATGTCAACAACATATTAAATGATTCAACGAAATTAGTTATCCTTACTTGAAAAATAAAAATAAAAATTAGAAATGTTCGGTGTCGTGCCTACCAGTGTTCGTGGGAAGTTGCATAAGCTCCATTTCAATAATTAAAAGGGGCTCAATTTCGTGTATGTTTGACAAAAATTATAATTGCTTATAAATTGTCAAAGTCTATTTTCATTTGCATTCTATACAATTCATAACCTTTTTTTCCCCTATTTTTAAAACTATAAATTATCGGAACTCACTATTTATAATCAATTTAAATTTTAGCCAGTTCATTCCTTAAAATAAAAATTTTTGGTGCGCCTTTTGGTTTTTATTTATATTTTTTCTGATGTTACCGTAATATAATCTGTTCCAAGATTTTGCCCCCACCAGAACCCACCTCCAATTTTGTTAATGTTTTTAGTGCACTAGTCACGTGCAACCAAACATCGTTTATTTCCAATAATTAATTGCTTTAGATGAGACATCACTATTGACCAAATATGCTACGAAATCACTCGACAATTGTTATTGAGATGTGCGTGCGGATCCTACGTCAATCAATAGAGTAATAATAATTATAATTTTTGTTGATAACGTGATAAACAGATTTCGACTACACTCACATCTAGATGTGTCAATATGGGTGATCCAGGCCGGGTTGGCCCGCCAACATATGAGCCCGATAACGGTCCGCGTGAAAAAAAGCATGCCCACTACGGGTTCCGGGTCGGCCTATAAATTTTGGACTACAACCCGGCCCATCCTCTGACCAATCACGGATCGCGGTTTGTTCCGATTTGGCCCGTATTATTGTATAAATAAAATTATAAAAATATAGAATTTTTCATATTTATAGTAAGAAAAAAAAATTTTTGTTAAATGTAAACTAAAAATTGAACAAAATGATAAATTCATATTTATATTAAGAAATGTTTACATATAATTCAATAAAAAATATTTTTTTTGTTAAATGTAAACTAAGAATTGAACAAAATGATAAATTCATATTTATACCAAGAAATGTTTACATAGAATTCAAATTTAATGTTACATGAATTATTTATAACTTTACAAAGTTAAATTTAACTTAAACAAATAACAACTTAATACATTTCTAATTACTATTATCAAATATTTATAGTATAAGTACATCCCAACTTGGTTGACACCTACTTTTATTATAATTTATAGTTTAAATACATCTCAACTAGGTTGGCACCTACTTAAGTCTTAATTATAATTTAGTTGTTCAAAAATTATATATTTTAATATTTGTTTTCTAATCAATTTTCAGGAATTGCAAGATTTTTGAAATTTTCAACAACATCATCAATAACCCGCTGGCCCGTGAAGGTGCAACCCGCGAAACTCGCGGGTCACACCTCCTTGACCCATGAACCGCCCGCTCAGGTCATGGGTCGGCTCGCGGTCCCGATCGATCCGAGTCAGTTTTCACGGGTCTGACCGGCCCGTCTGTCTTGACAACTCTACTCACATCCACCTAATTTACCTCTTACACTAGACAAATCTTTAAGAGCGGGTGGCCTCTCTAGTTATGAAAGAGACAATCGCGAGCACTCCAACAACTAAGCCAATCGAGTTCTATGAATATATTTGGACGTGAGACATACGGGAAATGTGAGCTATAAAAGTGTTTGGGCACTTAGGGTTAAAGATAGAACCGATATAAGAGATAGAGACCAATATTACTTGAAGTATAAAAATGCATTACCTTCAAATGGCATAAATGTAAACTTTTATAGTAGGGGAGATGAAATGTTTACTATTGAATGAAAAGACGTGTAACCCCATCTAAACGATCGAGGCGCCTTGTCATAGGCGTTGATGCTACTAAAAATTGCACATGGTCAATTCCGAGCTTGACGACTGATAATTTGCACGAACACGATCTTCCGGTACCTGAAACAAATGTGTCGAGGGGTGTCCTCGTCGTCCCCCCGATGCTTAAGTCAGAGAGAGAATAGAGAGAAAATATGTGCTGAAAATATATGTAAAAAGGTACCTGAATCATGATCTCAGATTCCATATTTATAGAGCTAGGTAGTGGTGAACTCCTAGTAGGACTTGTTATCCTATTTTTAGGAATGTCTTGTGGTAAGATTAATGTGGGTTAAGGCTAGAAGTCTTAACTTACCATGCGTTCCAAGGTAGAATCCTCATAGTCCCAGGATTCTTATTTTAAAGTAATTGGATAAGGTTAACGCTCTTTGGCGATGAGGACTAGCAATTGCTCGATTATGGAGTAGTTTGAGAATTTGGCTAAGGAAAAATCTTGAGCACTTACACCCCGAGGATTATTGAT